GCTGATATTTGGCAGTGCTGTAAAGCTCCGTCCTACAGAGGGAGACGTGTACTTTGATGCTGTTGCCATAGTGGATCCAGTAACCAGAGATGCACAGAAACTAGCTCCCCTGCTACTGGTAGGTTGGTCTGTGTTTGGACCGGCTCATCCGCCTTTTCTGTTTCAATGAGTTCATTGATTTGGCCTTACGTTGACCACATCTGTTTTCTAATTTGTCATTTCTCCCCTTTGAAACCTGTAGGTTCTGAAGCAGCTGATAAACGTCAACTTACGGGTCTTCATGAATTGCCAGTCCAAACTGTCAGAGATGCCTCTGAAGAGGTGAGGACACAGGTTGTTTCTCTACAGAGTGAACATTCAGACTAACCCAGTCATACCAGTATGTGTGCCCAGACGTCCAACACCTTGGTCTTTTCTGCTTTTACCATTTATCCTCCCAGTAGATCTTTTTTTTACTTGAAATGAGACACTGACCTATTAAAATGTTCTAATACTGTATAGGCGTGTTGTTAAAGTGGTTTGATCTTTCCCAGTGTATGACCTGCACCTGTTGTGAAAGTTGAACTGGTGTCTGTGTGTTTTCTTCTAGTTTTTACCGTTACGTGTTGGAGCCAGAGGTGGTGTTTCAGGTTGACGGCAGTTTCTCTCCCGGCCCCCTGGCAAAGTTTCTGGACATGCCTCAGTCACCGCTTTTCACTCTGAACCTCAACACTCCCGAGAGCTGGATGGTTGAGTCTGTGCACACCCGGTACGACCTGGACAACATTTACCTGCAGGAGGTACAGAAAATCTCTGTCTCTGCGGGTTTGATCCAGATCAGTAGTGTCAGTAGTGTTTCTCCAAATGATTGGACCCAGTTTCAGCTATAAAGTCTTTAGTCTCTAAAGTGTGAAGTTATTTACCCTGCGTGAATGTTTTAATAGAGGTCTAAAGTTTTGCATTTTAATATGTGTATCAGTCAGTGTTTAAGCATTGCTTCAACATACCAGGTCCCCATTAGACTAGAAACAAACAGTTTTTGCACTGTTTGGGTTTTTGTTTCGGGAACCATTGCTAATGTGTCTCTCTCTCTGGACAGTGATTCAGGGCTGCACTAAATGAACTTTACTTGTCTTGGCTCCTCTGGTGTTTGCAGGTGGAGAACATCGTAGCGGCAGAGTATGAGTTAGAGTACCTTTTGTTGGAAGGCCACTGTTTTGACGTTACCTCAGGCCAGCCACCACGTGGCCTTCAGTTCACCCTGGGAACCACTTCGGAGCCAGTCATTGTGGACACTATTGTCATGGCGAACCTGGTAAGCGCTACATTTACATTTTGATCCTGTTTTGTTACTTACCACCTCAGAGAAGAAGATCTAGGTTTTCAGGACTTGACCCGGACTTGAGCAATGATGACTCAGCTTGGACTAAGACTCGAGAATTGACTGCATTCAGACTCAGAACCTGGAGACGATGACTGACTTTTTTTTGTAATAGGCCGTAATAATTTGGCCTAAGATAGTGACATTAAAACCTGTCCACCCGTACCGCGCTGTATCCGGCACACTTCCATCAAAACATCCACTCAGCCTTTCTATAAATGATTTTTATGTATGAAATTGCCAAGTAATATGGTGACGCAGTACGCTGTCAGTTGTGTTTAATGTAGACTTTGATGACTCTGACTCGGGTAATGGGGACTCAACTCGGATTATTCTTTGGTGACTCTGACTTGAACACCGGGGACTTGAGACTTGACTTGGACTCAAGGTTTAGTGACTTGACTACACTTGCTGAACCATAAGTATCCTTTCTTTTTGTTTGGATCTTTCCTTTATTCTTAAGTCACAAACACCATAGGTCTTCTGTGTTCTGCTATGCAGGGTTACTTCCAGCTGAAGGCCAACCCAGGCGCCTGGATCCTGAAGCTGCGGAAAGGACGCTCAGATGAAATCTACAGAATTTACAGGTGAGAACACGGAGAATTGCTTGTATCGTGTCACAGGGTTCAAATGTCTTATTTGTTTTTTAAATTCAGCCAAACTCTGACTCTTGTTTCTACAAACTGATTGTAAACTTTGTGTTTCTAATCGTTTTGTCATCCTTTCTTTCTTCATGTTACAGCCATGATGGCACAGACTCTCCAGCAGACTCCGATGACATTATAGTCGTACTGAACAACTTCAAGAGCAGGATCATTAAAGTCAAGGCAAGTTCACGTGTGATAAAGCGTTGGCCATCTGGCACCATAGCATGGAATGAGTGATAGGAGCTCACCCTAACTTTATTGTTTCACTGTTTTATGGTGGAATACAGGGGCTGCATATTGACTGTGCCATATAGAGGACTAAATCTGACTAAGCTGAAAATGCAGTGAACAAGGAAATCTATCTGAATTAATGAATAAAGGGATAAGTAAATGCAGAAGTCAGAATATCCGGTCAAGTTCCATGGATACACTTTTCTTTGAGTACAGTTTATTATCCTAAAGCTGGATTTTCCTCAGAGGCTGTGGCTGAGTTTGTTTTCATTTGTAAGGAAGTAGTCATAGATTAAAACCCCCAAGTGTAGAATGTTTATCTAACATCTATCAGTATTACCACCAGGAGGCGCCTTTTTAATTTGTCATCTTTATACTAATTACAGCTGTTACAGATCCAAGGAGACAGATCTACATCACAGCACATAGTTCAAGTTCTGTGTGTGCACTGCATAAAACACTGCCCACAAATATGCTGCACAACGCTGACGTCTGATTTCTAAATAGCATTCGGTGTTGTTACCGTTTCATAACCAATAGGGGTTTTTCTTTTGTTTTTATTCAAATTACATATTAGCAGGTGCTGTGACATGTACCAGCCAAACACAAAATCTCAGACCCTCAAAGTCTTTATTTTTAGATGTTTTTTTTTATTTCATTTGTGTGTGTTTTATCATTTTATCGTCAACTTGTTTTCAAATAAGCCGGTTTGGTCCTCTGTAAGAGCTCGTCGACATTAAAATGACACTGGTAATTTAAATAGTAGAAATAAATCTTTAAGCCAACTGGATGAACAACACTCCCAAAACCTATTTAGCTGGTTTACAAAAAAAAAAATCTGTGTTGATCAGGTCCAGAAGAAACTAGACAGGCTGGGTGAAGAGCTGCTGAGTGACGGGACTGAGGACGACGACACTGGCTTCTGGAAGTCTCTGACCAGGTGGGACTGTGGTTCAAACCTGCCTGTGAACATTATGTTTTATAGAAAAGTGTATGAAAACACATTTACTCCAACAAAAACATATTAGCAACACTTGCTAGCAATTGTAAAAGAAATCTGAGATGTACCACAAGGAGTTTTATCTGTGCCCTTCAAAATAAGGCTTCACGGGATTTCACAGGAATTTATAATGCCCTGCTTGTATTTTAGAGCAAATCTCACACACCGCTACTCTTGCCTCTGCTTTTAAAATGATTTTGTACCATCAGTACACACGTACAAAGTCTGACATTATCGCTGATCTATCCTCTCTGGCCAGAGATCTTGTCCTTTAGTACCTCGGCTGTTCCCTGTTCATCTTCCATTATGTAGAGCAGCTACAGTTATAGACGAAATATCCTGTAATCTTCTTTCAGAGGATTCACAGGTGGAGGGAAGACGGAGGAGCCAAAGCAGGAGAAGGACGATGTGATCAACATCTTCTCTGTGGCCTCAGGGCATCTGTATGAGAGGTTCCTGAGGTGAGTGTCCAACGTGACCTGACAAAGATCAGTCCAAATCCTTGAATACCAACATCCCTACACCTAGTTCATTTGTTCTCCCAGCTGTTGCCAACTGTCTTTTTATTTCATTCTTCTTCCCTCTCAGGATTATGATGCTGTCTGTTCTGAAAAACACCAAAACTCGTGTCAAGTTCTGGTTCCTCAAGAACTACCTGTCCCCAGCTTTCAAGGTAGGATGGTTTTTTTGTTGTTGTTGTTTTTACCCACTGCTGTTACTTTAAAAATCAGCTGCCATCTCATCACTGACATTTTCTCTGAGCAACAGTGATGTGAACTTCAAACAGGAGTTTCTGAAAGTCAAGGTGAAAGATGTGTTTGAGCAAGACACTGAACATGTAAATCTAACGTCACATAAAAATAAAAAAAAAAACCCGTAAACATCAGCTGTCACTACAATATCCCTTGTTAAAGTAATTCTCAAAACTTGCAGAGTCATTTTCAGATATTCGATATGTTATTTAAAATCATTTGCCCAATTAGAAATGATTATCTTGCACATTCTGATTTATTCGGGGTGTAAACTCATGATATCGCTGACGTCACTCAGACCCGATAGGTATTAAATTCATAAAAACGTACCGACACACTGACAGCTCTGTTTTTGGGTGTGACCATCTCGCAGGAGTTCATTCCCCACATGGCGAAGGAATATGGATTCCAGTACGAGCTGGTCCAGTATAAGTGGCCCCGCTGGTTACACCAACAGACCGAGAAGCAGAGGATCATCTGGGGTTACAAGATCCTGTTCCTGGACGTGCTCTTTCCCCTCGCTGTCGACAAGTTCCTGTTTGTGGACGCTGACCAGGTCAGTTCATACGAAGCTGCACAAACACTGATTCTGTTATTCTTCATCTCTTAGGCTGATGATTCAAAGGAACATAGATCAAGAAACTGGTGTAGCTGAAGAAGCTGTTAACAGCGTCATTCCAGCCCTAAAATGTGTGCAGATTGCATCGTTTTTATGGGAAAGTCTGGACGAAAATGTTCACTTGTGCTCTTATGTCGCATGTTTTGCAACTCTGATTGAAAAATGACACAGCCTCAGAATAAAATGTTCTAGAGCTCAAAAGATTAATCAATAGAAAATGAATTGGCAAATATTTTGATAGTCCATTAATTGTCATGTCTTCAGGTTTAGAACTGTTGGTTGAACAAAACAAGCAGGAAATATATGAAAGTGGTTTTAAAGACAAACAATTGAGAAAGTAGTCATCAGTAGCTGCCTTGATGCGATCCTAACGTACTGTTGACACCTCATCCTCCCTCAGATTGTGCGTACAGACCTGAAGGAGCTGCGTGACTTCAACCTGGATGGAGCTCCGTACGGTTACACCCCGTTCTGCGAGAGCCGGACAGAGATGGACGGCTACCGCTTCTGGAAGTCAGGCTACTGGGCGAGCCACCTCGCTGGGCGCAAATACCACATCAGGTACACTTTGATAATTTAACCCTCAAGTCAAAAATGTGTGTGTGTCAAAAATCATATTGCTCTCAAACACACTCTCGCTCCTTTTCAATATTTTTCATGCATATTTGAAGTGTTTCTGTTATTTATCCTCTGCAGCGCCCTGTATGTGGTCGACCTGAAGAAGTTCAGGAAAATAGCTGCAGGAGACCGGCTCAGAGGACAGTACCAGGGACTGAGCCAAGACCCCAACAGCCTCTCCAACCTGGACCAGGTCTGTGACCATCACAGCGAAGATTTTGTTCCTTTGACAGTTATGGTGACATTATGTGGTTGCAAGAAGGTAGTGTGCTGAAAACTCTACCTGTTATACTCAAGGAAGCTCTGGAATCAGAGATGTGAGAGTTAGTTGTTGAGCAGCAGCCTTTTCAGTGTGAGAAATGAATCTGATTCTTTTCATAATATCAGCATTTTCTTATTGTTTTCTCCTCTGATTCCGATCGTGTTCAGCAGCTGAATTTAGCATCTCAGACTCTTTAAGGTCCTTGAACACACACCCTGGTTGCAAATGCATTACCCCACACCAGACAAAAACAGAAAGGCAGCAGAATATGATAGTGTTAGTTAACAGATGCTTGTGTGCACATTATTGCTTAACCTTTCATGTCATGGTTTTTGAAAAAGAAAATTCTAATATCGATGAATCAAAAACATTGACATTGTCCTCGTGGGATTACAGTTGAAAAAAGCGAACAAAAAAGCTTTTAAAATGAGGTTGAGTGTATAAAACATTTTTTTGTTTGGGTTAATGTCCTTGCTTCTCTCATGAGTCTCACTGTCTGGGCTTTTTTTTCAGGATCTGCCCAACAACATGATCCACCAGGTGCCCATCAAGTCTCTGCCTCAGGAGTGGCTGTGGTGTGAGACCTGGTGTGACGACAGCTCTAAGAAGAGTGCCAAGACGATAGACCTGGTAACAGCAGTCTGTCTTATTTATAGACGTTAGGACAAAACAAAACCGATTTTTATAGAACTGAAGCAGAGAGGAGTGATGGGATTTCTAACAAGTGCCATTCCTCTTAACAGCCACTAGAGGGCAGAGAGGCTTACTGTGAGGAAGTAATTAGAGTACTGAATATGTGAATAAGTTTGTTTTTGGAAAATTCAATTGATTCACATTTAAAAACAACAAACTCCAAGATGAAAATAAACCGAATTATATTTTTACATGACGTTTTATGGGAAAATTCTTCTAGCTAGTTGTGGGTTTATCATCTATTGTATGTTTTATGTTGCTCTATTGTAAAAAAAAGAAATGTGGGACAGATCAGGCACCAGTGATTTCAGCAGTCTCTGTGACTATGTGACGCATCCTGTTCTCATCACCTGTGAAAAGCTTCCAAACTACCTAATAAAATGGCTTTGGGAAGAAATGGAGATACCTGACTATTTAATCTGTTCCTTCTCATTTTTCACAATTTCAGTGCAACAACCCCATGACCAAGGAGCCCAAGCTGCAGGCTGCAGTGAGGATCGTGGCCGAGTGGACAGATTACGACCAAGAGATCAAACGTCTGCAGACCAGAGTCCAGGAAGAAGCAAACCATAGAGCACAGCAGCAAAGCACAGGTACCCAACGCTCCCAGCCAACACATGTGGGTACAGCTCATCATTGATCACACCGACTAATGTGTCTCTCCTGCTTTGTGTCTCTTGTCAGATGTTCACACAGAGTTGTGAACAGTGTGATGAGGCGGTGAGCTGGACTCTGTTTAAAGAGTCTGCTTCATGAAGAGGCCCCTCTCATGCCTCAAGGACTGCTGACAGACTGACCACAAACCAGTGGGAACTGGTCAAAACATGGTTCGGTTTTTGTTTTTTTTTATAATATGTGCAGAAGCGTTATAGTGGTCAGGTTTAAGAAGACTTTTATTTTATTTTTGGTCCGTGTGTGAGCGGTGAGAATGTATTTTGTGAAGTGAAATATTCTATTCTATTTTTTTTTCCCCGTATAGTTTTTCTCCACTGTAATAGGAGTCGTCTGTATGTTTGCACTGACTGGGGTTCTGGTTCTGGTTGAAACACAAGGGGAAGGAGGGCTCCAGAAAATTTCCCTGCTGGTTAGTTTGGGGTTTGTTCTCTGATAAACCAAACATCTCATGGTGGGAAGGATTTCTGATCACTCATTGCGGGGGGGGAATACAAATTGTAGAGCTGCTGTTAATAATTTGCCAATTTTCAGACTGTAATACTGGGGCTTAGCTACATGACTGAAGGTAATACCATGAGGTTTTTTTAAAATTTATATGGCAAAATAATTAAACTGATCTTCAGGGCAGCAAACCATGGCCTGTTATTTGTTCAGATTTAACTGTAAAAAAAAAAAAGACTTAGTACAGTTTACCTGGAGTTATGAATTTTGTTAAACAACATGAATTATCTGCCCAGCTCCACTTAAGACATTTAGGAAATGCAAAATAAGTCTGGATATATACATTGTTTAGCAGTGGTGGATCCACGTCATATCCTTTATTTAAGTCACCTCGTGGTTATTGGATATTTAGTGCCCACTTAACACTTGTATAGGAATGCACATGCAATTTAGAAATGAGTGGTAACTGTTAACTAGGTTACACTCATCAACTGGTATTTGACGTGAAGATTAAAAAGTAAATTGGCAGGCTTGATCGAATCCCCAGTTTCTTGTGGAATATAAATGTCTCTGTGATTCTCAGGGAAAGATGTTTGAAGCTTTTGCAGGTTGCAGCATAAAGTACAACTAAGAGGAGCGTAGGTAGTTTATCTGACTAAGTCTGTGGTACTGTAGAACAGCCACGACCCTACAGACTGGTGGAAATTGGGATTTGTCATTATCTTCTTGTGGCTGTTAGAGATGTTTAAATAAAAATCCCCATTAAAGAAGTGATCCAGGTTATTAGCACCACTTCCTGTGTTCAGGTATAACTTCGCTCCACTGGTTACCAACTAGTGGTACCCAAGGAGTACTTCTAAATTTGTAGAAAGGTACAATTAGTTTGAAAAATGATTAGTTAATAAATTCAATTTAGTTTTCAGCTAAACCGCGAAATGAACACTGACAAACCTTCCTGAATAAGATTGTATACAAACAGTTAAAACAGCTAAAAGTCAATGAAGCAACAGCTTAATTATCCCAAAAGTAAATGGTAATGAATCAATAATTGGAATAGCCAAAAAAAGGCATCAACCCACGTAGTTATGACGTGTTAACGTAAAATAATCCCATTCGGTCAGTTGTAAATAACACCGTCATGTTTGGTTACAACTGGAAGCAACCAACTCACCTGTGAATTAAAGGGAGACTATCACTTATTCAGTTCTCTCATCTCTCGTCTCTCTGTAGATACGTGAGCTACAGTTTTTCATGCAGTGATCTTTATAAACCCAAAAGTGCCCAAAAATGCTTGAAATGCACAAGAATAATAAGCACATTCTTCTATGTATGATGCTGGCCTGCACACACACACACACACACACACACACACACACACAATCTGTTTCTGGAAGGTTTCAGACTTTTATTGTGATCCATTTGAAAAAAGGTTTTACAAAAAGGTAACATTTAATTTTTACATCAATTCTTAAAAAAAAAAAAAATCACTTAAAATAAGGTTTTGATACAACAAATTCAGTTAACTAAGTGATGGCTTCTATAAACAATGTGAAGATAATATACATGTAAAATGAATGCTACAAACTGAGGAAGCGATTACATTAATTAAAATAAAAAACAAAAAAACACAAGCATAATGGCATGATTGTTTTCCTTTCGACTTGAGTGACAATCTAGTCAGTTACCAACAGAGCAGTTATTACGAAACTAATTTCACATCAGGTGTCCAGCTGGAATGGTCAATGACAAAAGCACCATCGGAGTCTCGCTGATTTGTTGCATCTGTCCGTTTTCTCCACATGCCAACCCCGGTGTATGTGCTCATCCAGAAGCCACGTGTGGCCGACAGTGAAGAGCCCAAGAGGAATTCAAAGGAAACCTTATATGATCACCATCACGTGGCTTCGGTTTAGGTGACACCCAGATTGGTGAAGACACACGGAAAATTGAAATACAATGTGAGCTTACAACACAAATATCCAAGAGGAAAGGCAAATTAGCATTTTGATGTGAGCAAGCACAGCAGCTGATGCACTTGAGAGGACAGATGAGACGATCTATTCAGACTGACCAGAGGCTGGAAGAAGTTGCCCTTTTACAGAGTGGCTGGCATCTATCCCCCTACCCCACCCCCGCCCCCAAAAGGCAGAAAACGACTTCAGAAGTGGCACTGTCATCGTACTCTAACCTCCAGCTGCACCTCCCGCTCTGTTTGAAGCAGCACATCTGCATAAGCAGCCTGTGGCCTTTCAGCAACTGGGCAAACAACTACTCCGCATTTATTAAAGGAAAGGTTCTACACTTAGGGAAAAACACCTATTCACTTTCTTGCAGAGAATCAAGTAAGACCAGCGCTACCAGCAGCCCACTAGCTTAGCATAAAGGCTGGAAACAGGGAAACAACTAGCCCAGCGCTCTCCAAAATTAAATATCTAGATATCACTAATGCCTCTAATTCTACACATTTTCATGTTTGTTTAATCTGTAGAGAAACTGAGGTGTAAAAACAATTTGCAATTTTTTACTACTGCTATTTCTTGGCTTGGAGCAGCAGCTTCCTCCCATGGCTGTTTTTACACTTTGTAATTAGTTTAATAATAGGAAAACCAATGTATTAACTGAGCTTTAGCAAATTTGACCAACTTTGCTTCCCCATCCGCAGTCTTTGTGCTAAGCTAAGCGGCAACTGTGTATTTACCCCCCACACGCGAACACCAGCAATCCACTCACCTGTCAGAAGGTGAATATATGAATTTCCCAAAGATGCCAAACTGTAAAAACAATAGTTCACGGAGCATGGCTAAGGTTCAGTGTGGCCGTTGCACTGCTTCAAACAGAGAACCGGTTTTTGTCAGAACTCAAGACAAAACTGTCGTCTCCGAGAGGAGGTTCCCCACATCCTTTTCTCTCTGCCAAAATCTCCTCCTCCTCTTCTCCATTTCATAAACATGTTTAAATCCGTTACAGTTACATCATCTGCAAAGCTTAAAATAACACATGCACCTCCAGCATTTTATACAAGAGTATGATACAAAATAAGGCATTTCATTGTGTTGAGAAGTCATGTTGTTTTGAGTGTTAACACATTTTTGTGTGTGTACTTATGCACGTGCACATAGCAACCACATTGTTTTTCTTTTTGCCTGCCTATAAAAAGACTGCAAAAAACAAAGTCATGATAACTCTTACTTAAAATATATATATTTGTTATATATATTTATGTATAT